TTTTTTTTTTTTTCTCCCATCCTCTCTCCCTTCATTCCTTTTGTCTTCCAAATTTGGACAATCTTGCTATTGTCACTTATTATTGAGAAAATATTTTCTAAAATGATGTCCTTAATCCCATATTCAGAGCCTTTCATGGTGCTATTTGACTTTTAAAAATCATCTAATCTCCTGTTATTTATAGAGCACCCACAATACTTAGGCACTGAATATTCCTTATTCCTTACCGCATGGAAGTTGTAAATGTGAATGTGATGGGGTTTTCCCAGCTCGATTGTAAACTTCCTGAGAGCAAGGGCACTGCTGTGCGCAGAGCTATCTGAAATAAAGCCAGAGTATTATAAATGCAATTTTCATAGTAAGGGTACAGTTACGGATCATTGGTTTGTAGAGGAGGGTACAATGAATTCTTACTCAACGATTCAGGAAGATCCCTGAAGAAGGTGGTATTTGAACTGGGTGTTAAAAGATGAGCATTTCAGACAGCAGAAAGCTACTAAACAAGGTCTGGGAAGCAGGAAACAACTTTTGGGGGAGTGGAGTGGCAGTGAAGGGAGATGGTTTAGCCTGACTAGAGAGCATAAAGTGGTGAATGTGTTGATCTCAGATCTTGCAAAGCTGTGTTGAAAAGTTTTGGACTTGATCCTGTAAGGATCTGTTGGAGAGCTGTTAGAACTTTTCAAGCAAGGGGACAAGCATCAGGTTTAGAAAGAAAACATTTCCCACAGAGAGCTGGAAAACGATAGAGATTGGAAGCAGGGGGCACATGAGATGGGAGGCCATTGCCTGGGTGGGAGATGGTGAATGGTGGATGAGTTTCTGAACTGTGACAACGGCCTCAGGTGTGGACATGAAGCTTTTGTGTGCAAAGTGACCGTAATCAGTTGGTCAAGCATGCTGGGGGCTGGGGGGAACAGGTTTGCAGAGGGACAATGGCCGTGCTACTGATATTAAAGAAAAGCAAATTTAGGAGAGGATGGGGACAAGGATGTAGTTCAGAAAAGCATCAAAAAAGATATAATTTAAGCTATGAATGTAAATAAAATTGCTGCCCAATGGAGAACCTTGTGGAAGGCCCACATTGAAGGGAAGGCAGAAGAGGAAAATTCAGGGGAGTTTCCTGGATGGAATGTGGGGTTTCATGGAAGCCAAGAGAAACATGTGGATTTCAAGGAAGAAGCCTCCTGCTGTGATTTGTTTCATTAATATAATCATTTCGTATTTTTTTCCCTTTCTCTTCTTTTCCTCTTTGTCATGGCACCACAAAATGTGTTGTGTGGTTGTCCGGACTGTCTCCCATCTGGTCCACATGTCATCTTTGCAGCTCTTCCCCCTATTTATTAAGGA